AGAGAGAGAGAGAGAGAAAAGAGGAGAGGATTAACAGCCTGTTTCTGAACCCCGTTTCGTTGAAAAGGGATCTGGGATAAACGTTACGCGAGAGAGGCGATGAAAATTCGGCTCTCGTCCTCGTAAAACGCGCGTCGCTCGATGGCCCAGTAAAGGCCGAATGCGGCACGAAAATTTATTACGATCACATCAGCGAGGACTCGTTTTTCGTTTCTCCAAGCACAATTTTTTATATGCTCTTCTTACAGAGAGAAAGAAAAGGGTTGTAATTGAATTTACATCGTTCGTTAAGAGATTGGATCTGAAGAATGTAAATTGGTGATTTATTTGTTTGTTGAATGAAATTTAAGAAATCAATTAGAATTCACGAGAAATCGAAATTTAATCCCCTTAATCATAATCCCAAATTTTGCAATTTTATTCCTTGCTATTTAAAATCTGAACTATCATTTCAGACAATAATTCGATCAATAATTTGAAAAATTTCTAACTCATCACGATATGAAACGTATTCTCTTGTGATTTCCAATAATCACGATAAATAACGCGAGGGATCCATAAGATGGATAAATCACGGATGATAATTAAAAGAGAATACTAGTTACGAGGAAGGAGACGAAGAACACGATTGATTTTACATCGAATTAAACCCATCCATCGTCCACGTTTCACGCGCATCCCTCACCAAAACCCTCGATTCTTTTTCTTTTCTTTTCTTTTATAGTGACTACGATTAATCTCGCCTTCCTCGCAACCACGGAGAAACGTGGTGGCTAGAATTTATCGCCCGCACGAATACTTTGCCTTCGATATCGGCATATTAATTTTCGGCCGAGTACACGAACCCAGAAACTTTCGACCGCACTCTTTAATTACCAACCGATTTTTCATCGTCCCGATTCCGCTCTGTCGCGATTCATCGATGTATAAGAATTACCAAGATTGTTTCGTTGATAATTATAACGATTCGTGCAAAGTTCTCATTAGATTATTATTATTATTATTATTATTTTTTTTTTTTTGATTAATTGCGAGTTCGCGAGTTTTCCAAACTTCAAGTTCATAATAAAAAGAAGTAGTAAAAATAAATTTTTATCTAAAACAAGGATGAAGAAAGAAAGAAGGAAATAGGCTCCGATAAACTTTTAATTCTTAAAAATAATAAAAGTAAAAATCCGAAATAGAGATAGATTATTGTACAAGGAAAAATAACGGAATAGTACGAAAAATACTAGGAATCGAAATATCAAGATTCGTTTATACACATGGTTCCGTAAATAAAATCTGACTCTTAACCTTTACCGGGACATTTTTCTGTTGAAAAGGTAGCGGAAATATTCAAACGGCCTCCACCCACGCTGACGAGGAGGGGCTTCGTTGACCGGGCTGACACGGGCCTCAAAAGCTTTATTTGCCGAGCGAGATTTTCCAATTAAACCGTGATTAATCCGCGCGACGAATGCTTAGGGCCGAAATGTTTACGACGCGGGGATGGAATAAGTTGCTTGTATACAGAGCGTCGAAAATCGATACACACTGTGTGGGTGTTGGATGGGCGGGGTTGAGTGCAGAGGAATTGACGATAATCCGATTTCGATGGACGGCACGAGTTGGATAATTCGTTTGCCTCGTGCCATTCCAAAGAGGGAGGAAGAGGGAGGACGGGCGAGAGAGAGAGAGAGGAAGAAGGGAGGACGATCCGGTTCTATCCTCCTCCCTATTCCCTCCTCTCTCTGTCGTCGAATGGAACTATTGAATTCCGTTTTCCTCGACTCGCGTGACTCGAATCGCGAAAAAATTCGAACTGCGTGGAAGAGGAAAAGCGCCTCGAAATGACGCGGCCACGTCCGCCACGTGAAATATAGGAAATTCTTGCCGATAAAATTCTTCCGATTATCCGCGCCGTTGCTGTAATTAGCTGCGATCCGAATTAATTGTGATCTCGGCGATTCTCGGCATTTATAATCCCAGAAATCCCATTCTATTTTCTTAATCGAATAAAAATATAACACAGAAGAAACACGTCACAGTCGACGAAGAATCGTTGCCAGATCGGTCGTCACGTCACGTGTTATTATATATTGGAAAGATATTGGAATGCAAAATAGTAAATACTTATATTAAATAATTTCCATATGTTGAATATTCGTATTTGTACAATGTTTTACGCGTGGATATTTTACGAGGGAATAAAGATATTCAAATTAACGATGTTTTAATTAAGCGAATGATTAAAAATTAGAAACTATTTTGCAATCTGTAAATTTATACCGCGAGAAAAGTGAGAGAAAGATCGTATATTCGTGCGCTACGCTGTCGCTTTCTGTAAATAAATGTATTTAAATATTCGCTCTATGGATCATTTTATTACGACGCAAAAAAATCTCGTTCGATTGTAAATTATTATATAGTCAATTACCAAGACAGATAAGATAAGTTGATAAAAATTTCCATCGTAAATAAAATCAAAATCTGCATCACGATTTCATTATAATTTATTAAACCATCCTGGTCAATTAATTCATCAAACGCGAATCGTCGACGCCATCTCGAATAGCTTACTGCGACCTTGCTATTATTGTCGCGCTATTTTCGTGAGCAACCCGAGCAATCTGACGTAAATAAATGCGTAAATACCTACATTGCGTTTTGACCCATTATAATTCATTACATTACCCGCGCCTAATTAATTAATTCTTTCAACGCGATGCGTCACAAAGCCTAAATCGCGAATGGAAATCGCCATTTCCGTAGTAAAAGCAAGAGTTCCAGACGGCGTTACGAGTTTAACGTAATTTGTCATAATAGGCATGTTTGTTTGATGTAATACCAGGAGTCTGAGTCACGCGGCGATCGTTCCAGATCCAACCTTGAAGAAAAGCGAAACGCCTCGGATCGACTGGCAACGAGTTGCGATTTCCAGATCGATCCGTCGAACCGATGGTATTTCATTTACCTTTTAAACGAGGCTGCATTCCAACGGATGAATCGTCTCGATGAATCGATATTCTAACACTATTACACCTTTCTTCACCGCGAAAACTTAACACGCTCGATCGGTAATCACTTATAAGCATAGGATATCCATCGTAAATGTTAGTATGGTTTTTCGAATATTGTCAACAATGTAATGGAAAGTAAGAACAGATATTAAACAGCATTCTATCGATAACGAAAGGCAATATAAATGCTGGAATAGTAAATATGTTCATAAAGAATTCTAATATAATATTTTTATTGCAAAGTATCAATAAAATGCATCGCGTATCGATTTGCATTTGTAAAAAGTATGCAAAAAAAAAAAAAAAGAAAAAAAAAGAGTGGAGAATGCATATTGTAGGATCAAACATCGCTGAAACGCTTTTTCTTTAATAAAGAAGTCAGGGACGCTTTTAATTTTTTTAAATGACATCACACAATCTTTTCTATTCATTTCTATTTTGTAAGTAATATCGTGAAAAAAATTCAAGGATATTGATAATATTGCTCATTTTTTTTAAAGCTTGTTTCCATTAAATTTTTATTTATAGAAATGATTTAATGGATAAAAGATAGTAGAATTTTGTCTCGCGAAATTTTGCGCAATTCATAATAACGTGATCACATATCTTTATAATATAAACAAAAATCTATGACACACAAATCTGTCCATCTATTTTTGTTTTGTTAAAGCGTGCCATTGAATGTTTCTATGAGGTTATTGATTCACTGCGCATTACTAAAGAATTTTATCATATTTAACAATCATTCTTCTAAGTAAATTATTAGAGATAACTATTTCGTATCGCAGAATTTTTTCACGATATAATATTGAATATTCTAATTTTTTTCAGATTAATATTTTTATATAACATCACTTCGTGATTACCAAAGATGAATCGCTGTGACTGTTACGAAATCATCACTTATATATATATATATATATCACTATGCTATATATGTTACTAAAATATCACCAACATATGTGTTTCGTACTTTCGAAATGATTCTCGATTGTTCAATTTTATATACGCTATTGTGACAATTTTTTTTTTTTTATCAATTCAAACAATAAAGACGCATCACCGATTCGAAATAAAATATTTGATTCGACGCGACGCGATATTTGAAATTACGTTGTAAGTGAAGTTATCTCAAAGCAATCGATATATCGAATGAATTGCGATAATCGCAGAATCGTAGAATTTGGCGCGACTACTGCGCCACAGAACGCGGCAAAGATACTCTTGAACCGTTACGATGTCGAACGTGCTCCGATCGCGTGACGCGTTACAGAATTCGCATCGCGACGGGTTTTGTGCATACATTACTTAACCGTGTGACGCGTGTGTACACAACAGTTGTGGAAAAAAAACAGGCTTGTGATCACGCGAGTTACTGTTCCCCGGAGTGAACGCGATCAAAAGACTCGAAGAGTGTTCTCGAATCATAGAAGAAAAGTTCGATACTCACATGTTTTCGTCGAATCAGCGAACACTATTCTCGTCCCTCGAATGAAAGTACGAAAGCACGAAATGACGTCAGTGGAAGATCACTAAGTTCGGCAACACCCTCGGAATATCCTTGTCCGGAATACGGAATATCCACACTTCTGCTTTCTCACCGTGCTCCTACAAGGTACGACCACGAAATATTTTCTTCTATTACACTCTTTTCTATTCTAAAGATTGTGGCTCCCCCAAAAAACGGGAACAAGCTGTCACTCGCGTAATCAATTCTCACTGCGATCCCGGTATTGCACCCGGTATTGAAATAAGGTTATGTCTCGTATCGTTGACGCGTAAAATACGTTACGTATAAAAGTAAAAAAAGAAAGACGCGGAGATCCGGAAGAAAGGGAAAACGATCGGAACAGTCACGGTTGCGATCGACACTGCTCCTCCTTTCTTCGTTATGTTTTTTCTTCTATCGATATTCGGTCGTGTTGCTCGTTGCAACGACGTTCGCGGTGTGTCGTGTCAGTTCTCGAATGAAGCACTGAGGAAAGAACTCGTCCTTTGCGCGCGCGCGTTACCGCACACGCGTATATCTATATACATATATAGACAAGTATAGATATTATATACAACACGCGTGCCCCTGTAATGTCCTTCGTTCCGCGAGCGAACGTTTTTCTTTTTTGGTCAGAACGGTTACCGATTCGTAAACCTACACGAACAGTCACTCGCGAGTGCCGTTGCGAGACTGGAACGCGGGGAAACATGTGCGGCCTCTTACATATCGCTTTGGGCGAAGGGGGAGTCGGGGAGAGGAGTAGGGGGAGCCACCGAGGTCTTCGGTGGGGGAAGATCCCACTCCGCGAGCCACGAGAGGGGTATAATTGGCAAGGACGCGCGAGACTTCGACGTGTCGCGGTCGCTCTACGTACTACTTTTTTCCTAGCGCTTGTTCTTGCTTTCTTGCGGCCACATTGATAAGGAAAGTACATCGAAGAACCCCTCTTTTCTTGAGATCTGAAATAGGATGATTTCGAGGGAGGGGGGAAGATCGCTCTATTTTATACGTTTAGGAAAACTATCTAGTGAATCTATCACTAAAGATAGGGTGAGAGCTTGTTCCCTTTCGAGTTGGTTAACTATATTTAGAGCCTAGTTTCCCACCCGTTGTTGAGATATAGCGAGGGAAATAGAACACCAAGAGTAGCTGGTATAAACGATGTCCGTTATAAATCGAGTTAACTCGTTGAATTTTTTTAATATCCACTCGTAAATACAAATTACCCAAGAAAATATTACCAGCAACTTTAATTAGTGATTCAGCCTTCTGCACTTAGGTTTTTCGTAATCTCGTTATTTATGGAACTTATTGCACGATGCAAACGAGTCTAACACGGTAATATCACGCGCGAAATCGTATCTCCGATCTGGTTTACTTATTCTATCGTTCACACAAATTTCTATAAGACGGATGGATAACTCGATGATTTCCAAGATCATAATAATGTCGGGGGTTAAATATATCGTTCGACCTGGAGAACGATAATCGTAACGCCTCGATCTTTCGGGCTATCGTTTAATCGCGTCAAGATCGAGTGACCTTGATTCACTTACGCGTAAGCACAAAAAACGACAACAGAACGTGCAGGAAGCCTCCTATCTGAAGACAATCGCGACAAATCGCAAGGTAGATTCGTATCGCGACTTCCGCGATGAGGTAAGACCGACGAGACGTAATCGTGATTATAAACTCGTGTCGGGGCGGAATCCATTTTTCTTCTTCTCGTAATACACGGACGAAAGGTTTCGCCGGATGATTGCGATATCGCAGCTACCGTAAATTCGTTCGCCAGGATTAGAGGATCGTTTTTCGATTCGACACGCTCCTTTGCACGGTCATTGCATCGAATTTTCGTATTTCTTTTTATATATATATATTTTATTTATTGATTTTCTAATATGGAATTGTCTGGTTCGATATCTTTTCCTTTTTCTTGCATCAATCATTTCGAATCGATATTTGTTTACGATTAAACGCATCTTTTATGCACGGATGTGTACAATCGATCGAAATTTCAAATAGGTTTGAGACACGTGGAATTTAAAGTATCGATTTATAATGCACTTTATAAGATCTATCTCGGAGATGTCGAGACGTTTTACGATATATTCGGCCAGGGAACGTTGTTCAAGATCAAAACAACATGTTACATAATGCATAAATGAAATAACGCATCGGTTAGAATTGGTTACATAAACTTGCAACAAAAATATCAAAGATTGCGTGCTTGCGAAGGAAGAGAGAAAGGAAAGTATCGCGGATTTGTGAGTCAGTTTTCAGAAACGGTGCCTAGCATTTAGTTATTATGAGTAGTTAAAAGTGCCCCATTTCCTTCCGAAACGAGACACGTTATTGCAATTCCAACTTTACTTAACTTCGCAAAACGAATCAAAAGTGAGTCAAATAAATTTCAAATTCGCTCCAAATTCGCTCTATTCGACTCGAATTCTTCGAATTTTTCCAAAACTTTTGCAATACCGTCCACGAACATCCACGCTTAAACGACGAACGTTTTATTCATAAAAATGGCGAAATCTGACTCTGATTCAACTCCCCCCATTCCGCTATAAACCATTCGATCAACGAGTGGATGTTTTCCAAGCGGCGCGTATTTATATCAAAAGCCCTGATGTGTGTCTTTTTAACATCCCCTCCGACGTATTTGCCGGTCGTGGTGGCGTGGACGTAAAATGTGTCACGCTTACAGAGATGGGGGGACGATAGAAAAAGCACGCACGAGCGCACAGTTCAGGGGGTGCAGGGCTCGGGCACGTGAAAAGTTCAACAGGAAGGAAACATCATGAGCGTATACGCCAACACAGACACACACACACACATTCTTCATCTCCTCGCTTCACTCTTCCTTTCATGCGTGTGTCTTTTAAAGGTCCCATGGAAAGCAGCACGCGCTCGGTAAATAAAAGGCAGGGCGCATTGCACTGTTCCTCGACTCGTTTCCGTTCTAATGTTTAACGACTCGACCCGGCTATCTGCGGCGTTATCCACGGCGTCCACCTCCTTATCGCCTACCAACCACCCCCTCACCTTAGAAACACTTCCTCCTCCTTGAATTCGGTTTAGTCTCGTCTCGATCGATCGACGCCGACCGCGTTTCTTCTTATCGTTTCGTCTCTTCTTATCCATTTTTTTCCTCGATACCCCTTCCCAACCCCGACGCGGCTCCAGCTCGCTGCTCCTTCCGCTGCCACCTCCCCTCCCCACGATCCAGTTACTCCCTCGTTTGCACGCCCGTAACGCTTGGTCCGCCCCTGTTGACTTTCCTTTTAACCCGTATTTACGGATCCCATCTCTTATTTGTTCCTCCCGCCGCTCCATATAATTTTATTTGCAATCACTCTCCCTCGTGTTTGGATTAACCCCGTCATGGTACGCGGTTTCGAATCGACACGAATCTCTTTCTCGTGTTCCGGGGAACCGAGTGTCCAACTATAAGGCAAAAATATATATACTTCTTCTCTTCTCTCGGTTTCAATTTTAACTTTAGAGAATTCCAATTCGATTCTTCATCCTTTTAATCCTTCTTCTAATCTCCTCGAAACTATTTCATGACGCTCTCGCTTCTGCCTCTCCTCTCCTTTCCTTCGTTGCACCGGGTTGGCCAATTTTTCTGGCGCAGCAACGTGAGAGAAACGGTGAGAATAAGAATGCCTCTTCTCCATAAAGCGCGGAAAACCGCACTCGTACAATACACGCATTACGTGTCGCGCATATTATATCGTTCGACCGAGCCAGGTTTTTCGACCGAGATTAAGAGCGAGCACGTAGTAGCTCGCGACTTTGTCCGGTCTAAGTATGCCAAGGATTACCGGTATGAACTTTTACAGGCCGCGAACGCAATAATCCGATAATATATCCGAGCAGGAAACCGGGGGCCGTGTTACTACAGCGATACTACCGGCGACAGATTAACGAGGGGAACAGTTCGGGAACTTGGTATCGGGCTTGGCTTCGGTTTGTGACGATTAATTAGAATTTTTAATCCCTCGATCTCGATGGAGACGTGCGATTTCTTTTCGAGCGTGTGGAAATTTTTAAAATTCTGATCGAGTAGGATTTTTTTTCTGGTTATAATCGATGGGATATCCTGAGACACAGAGTCGTTTCATTGTGCATCATCCAGAAGTTTCGATAGAGTGTTATATATATATATATAATATATATATATATATATTGTGTAGATTGAATATAGATTGATTTTAACAATTTTAACATAAAATTGTCGATCGAGACTTATTTGTTAAATATAAATTAAGAGACTTTATAGGTTGTATGGATTATTAATCTCTTCACGTCTAGTTATGCGAAGGGATCGAAGATGATTTTTAAAACTTTTCGAGTGGTTCGTTAAGTGTTGGACTGATTAGTATTATTTAAAATAAATGTAAATTTTTGAAATTCACGTTCAGTTCCTATAATTTTTTATGATAATACAATTTTAAAACTCGGAGCGTGAATTGATAGTAAATATGCCAAGTAACGATGATTCGGCTTTTAGAGATCTTCCGAGACGGAAAGGTACAAAAGTTGTTAAGTTGTTATTTTTTTTTTTTTTTCAGATAGAAGAATTTCAGAAATTATTTGTATCAATAACAAGGCAACCGATAAGTAAATTTATCGTAAAGCGCGTATAATATATCGCAGTCATGGTCGAAGGAATTTTTTGGAAAATTTTGGAATATTTTTTTTTTTTCTCATTCACGGAACAATAATCAAATTATTGATGAAGTTAAATTTATACGATGCATTAATCGAAGCGAAGCGAATAGAATATTTTTGTAACGGATCAAATTTTATTCGAGATGAAACGAGGTTAGAATAGATTAATTTAAGGAGTAATTCAGGTAACCGCACGTGATCGCGATTTGTAGACAAATTAATATTTCCTCCACATGAAAACCGGGGGCCACCGGTTTGAGTAATATATAGCCTCGCGATACGATCTGAGCAAACATTAGCAGCCGGTTGCGCGACGAGCAACGGAAAAGTTCGTTCCTTGATGCAACACAACGCGGCTCGTGAAAGAAACGGAAACAATTCGTTCTTCGGTTGCCACGATTATTTTCACCTTGAGCGTATCTACCAATTAATCCGTAGGCTTTACTTTATCTCGGTCGATATTGGAAAAAATAACCAAGATTCATCGCGATTTTACTCGTAAATATTCCGAATTTTTAACATCGTATCCGTATTCATTTTCAACTGAATATAAAAATATGTCGCGCGAAATTTCACGTCTATTCATATCTTGATGTACGAAATAAAGTATAACTTTTACGACGATATTTGCCACATATATTTTTCGACATATTTAACATTTTCATAACCTTTATTATATTCCTTCTAAATTCTAAATTCAACGAAACATCGTGCATGCAGCACGTTTTATAATTAATAAATCTCACTTCTGTTTTCAACAAACAAACAAAATAAAAATATCGTACGCGTTTTACGAGAAGTCATTGCGACACGAGGATCAACATCTCGGACATTAGGAAAACTCTGGAAAAGGAAATGGAAAAAAGTGAGAAAGTTGGAGGAGGGGGAAATGTAATTATAATATAAACACACAAACACATATACATCGGGGGAAAAACTACGTTTCTGCGTAGTTACGATTACGTGTACTAGGAAGTTAATCGATCGTGGTCGTGTACGTAATCGGTACGATGCGAAAATTTATGCAACCCCG